CCGTTAATATACCTGGGCGTCCAACCCAAGTACAGTCTATATGTGGGATACACTGCAACATTTTATCGCAGAGAATTTGATGACAATATTGCCATCCTCACATAAGCAAAATAAAAGACGACAGTGCCCCCTACGCACAAAGCCAGGTCCATAAAGAGAAACAGCCCTGACCTCAACACCTTTGAGATGAACAGGAACTCTGACAGCGAGTCAGCGGCTGACCTCACTGTAACACTCTTGTGGCTGAATGGGCACACATCTCTGAAGCCAGGTTCAGAAATGTAAAAAAAACAAAAAAACAAAAAGGCACTATGTGTAAGAATTGAGACTTCTCTACACCCGTCAAATCCCTATCCCAAAACAATAGGGGTCAGCATATGATGTATCAGGTCATAATTGCTGCCATTAGCCAGTAAGCTGTGCAACTAACGTCCAATAAGAACGGGCACCAGCACAAGAGATGGATGTGCTGGCAACAGGCTAAAAACAGCCTCCGGACCCACGGAGGACAGTTTGACAACAGGGAATAGAGTGCCGAGATGGTTTACAGCGGCTCAAATCAGTACTCTGACTCGGGGGATGACGAAGACACAGCGGGGACAGGAGAGGCGTCCTCACTCTTCTTCTGCGTTATCAAATCGACTATCTCCCATCCACCCCTCCCTCTCTACGCCTCACCCAATATCATCGCCTACAGCCAGCGCTCACAGGGGACTATTACAGCAGATCATGTTGCACAACAACATGTAAGGGCTTCACAATGAGCTGCATCTCCCGACTTCACGGCTGCCATAAAAACCATTGTGAGCCTTTATAGTGGCACAACAGCACAGTGGACATTATGAAAACAAGCAATTATGATAGAGTAGACAAATAAAGGATGGTGCTTTGCAGATTGTGTGCCTTTGGCCTTGTAATGACGCAAAGACCTCAGCTAATTTGCTGTGTCATGTAAGATGGATATAATATCGTGTAGTGCAAAACATATCAGAAAATACGTAACACACCTTTTAACTTGTCAAGATGAAATACCAGCGCCACACCAAATGACAAACCGAATCGTATAATAGTGTTTTAAGATTGTATTCAAATCCAGCTGCTCTTTCAGTTCAGTTAGTGAGAAGAAGACAATGCCACTCAAACTATACCAATATGTCTGAAAACGTCTGAGCAGTCGACTGTGAGGCTCTTTATTTGGAATGAGAACATACAGCACTTAAGCTACAACCCTTAAAATACAACTTTTATGGGAAAAACAAATACAGTTAGGCCGATAAATTGGCCAGGCTGATGCCCGCTTATATTGGTATCAGTGTATATCTCGGCTGACACGTAGCAAGAAATTTCAGAGAAGAAATGCAAAGTTAGGTTTGATGTCATTTAGAAACCACCATTATAGTTTGTCCACCAGAGACCACTGACACATTGATAATTACACTGTATAATGTCCAAAAGAGTATCTTCGTAAAATAATAATAATCTCAGGGATATGTGTCAATAAAAAATTTTAAAAATAAAATTTGTTTGGCCAAAAAGTTATGTAAATCTAACAAATTACCATAAACAATATAGATCCATATGACTTGGCAGCGAGAGACTGGATTAGAGACCCAGACGCACTACTTTCACTCAAACACCCGGACATTGTCAACTACCTCGTTTAGAGAGCATACTCACAAAAGGTAAGATGGCACTCCTTTTTTTGGCCCAATTATGAAAACATTAAAAAATGCTAAACTTTCAAAAACATTCAGCTGTGTTGTTTTTTTTGAGTCATAGGCATTCGGTTTGATCAGTCGCATTATTAATAAGAAAAGATTAGCTATAATCTTAGCTATTAAGCTGGGTTCTTTTACTTTTAGCTGGCAGATACATTTAGGATTTGGTTATCTGGAGTCGAAATTAATGAAGACATGATTTTACAGGTTAAGGTCAATTTATACTTCTGCGTCAAATCGACGGCGTAGGTGACAGCATAGGCTACGGGGCTACGCAGAGGCTACGCCGTCGCCTGACGTGCACCTCCTCAAAAATGTAACTACACGTCGAGTCGACGTGGACCGTAAGCTCTGTGATTGGTCGGCTGGGTAATGCCTCCGAGCCGACCGGAAGTACCCCGAGCTTTGAAGTAACATTTACTAGCAAAACGGCGGCTGCAACACTGAATTAATATATTTGACCATCGCAACCCGAGCGAAATGACTCGTTTCGCTATCAGAATGCGATCCATTCGGTTCGTAACATTTGAAAAGGCTACACCAGCCGCACGTTTACAATTTTACCCCCCATTTACGTTAGCCTGCACGGCGGGCAAAAGTCCACACAGTGGACGATGTAGCGCTACTGCCGACTGGCGTTTGGGGGTGTAATTGCAGAATGACGGACACACCTACACACAAGTATAAATGCATGGGTACGCACGTACTCTATGGCGTAGGTACGCACGTAGACCCTACGCAGGAGTATAAATGGGCCTTTAGTCGTACACTGTGTGCATAAAAAGAAGGCACAGTGACAACATGGTGGCGTGAACAAAACAGTCAACACGGCGTGACATCTACTTCACATTCCCTATAGACAAACTGCAGCACATATTATGGCCCATGGTGCTTTCAGAGCAAAAGGGAAGAGCTGCGATTTCCTGTCGGGCGACCTGAAGGGGGCGGTACCGGGGCCGCGAAAGGCGAAGCGAAGAAATTTGCATGACGCTGACTTGCGAAAGCCTATCAATGTTGACACTGTCCGTATGTCACCGACGGCTTCAGAGCGTTGTGGAGAGGGCTGGGCAGAGCAGGCCATTGAAAATATGCAGGCCGGCTGAGAGCTGCTAAACTTGGGCTAGAGGAGCAGGGAGCAGCGCTCCAGCTTTTGGACAAAAACACCCGTGGGACTGGATTCTGCTCTGACAACTACGCCGTTTGCTCGAGGGAGGAGCTCGGAGTAAAATGCTTTTATTAAATTAGCTTTTTACTTTAGTTTTTGGGATTACAACGTTGATTCATCTTCACTCGAGCTTCTCAGCAGCTAGATTCCGCGCACATCTGGTTCAAGTGTTGTTAGCGTCGTTTGGCACGACTTCATATTTATATTAAAAAAAACTGACAAAACTGGACATTGCTGGGAGAAAAGAAAGTGAAGAGGTTGAACTACCTGGTGAGTTCAGAAAACATGTGTATGTAACTTTATTCCAGCTGTCAGTTAGCATAGCATAGCCCTGATCGATCCAAACTCCATTCAGAAAACAAACATTTTAGAAGTTGTTATCCTGCTGTCTTGCTGACAGAAAAATAATGCAGGGGACTGCAGCAAAGAAGATGAACCAGGCTCAACTTTTCTTTAACGCACGGCTGTTTTCATTCTAAATTCCCACGTTGTCCTCTTTCTGCAACACTGCAGCTTTGTCCTAATTCCACACTGCACACTAATAGTAAGCAGGTTTGTGTGTTCACACAAGAAAAGTGACGACATAAAGTACACTCGAAACATTTAGTATGCAGACTAACACACTTTACTTGAGAGTTGGCTGTTGATGTACCTTCTTCTTTAAAATCGGGAGCTGCTCACAGCCACAAAAAGCCCCCCCCCAAAAAGAGAACAATTGCATTTTTGGGCAAACATTTCGCTGTCTCCCTATGAAGTCTAATTGGCAGTGACATTCCACAGTCGCAGTTTGTTTGACATCCGACCTGGATTTTCTCCATGGTAGGATTTTCAAATTCTAGGAGAAATTGGCAAAGAAGCTTTTGCTGTTCATGTTAAGTGCCATTAAACACAATGTTTATGGCTGTTATTTTAAATAGTTAAAAAAAAATAAAAAATTGTTACCAAACTCCACTTAAGCTGAGTTGGAAATGTTTGAACGCAATGTCACATTGTCTGCGTTCATGTGAAGAAGAAGAATAGACTACAGCGCAGAAAAATAATCCTGTTGGTTTGCGGACACAGCGGAATAAAATATCCACTGAATACCTGAAATGGAAATTTCACTTAGATTATATAGAATCCTCTTCACTTGACGTGACAGGGTATTGTCAGCGCCTGAACAAGCTAAAACATGCAGTAATTTACATGTTTGATAACAACCTAGTTCAACCTGGGTGACTGTTAGGCTGTAGAACAGAAGTGACTCTGTGTATTGTTAATCTGTACGCAGATCTAAAGGAGGTATGGGGCACCTCATCCTTTTTAGACCTAGCCACATCCTGGCTAAAACTGAGTCAAATAACCAGTCACAACTCTTCATTAGAAATCTGGGCTTTTTTTCCCCCCAAACTAGACACACACAAACAACCAAACTCACACGCATCCCTTGCCCACCACGTCGGGTGATGGTTTTTTAGTTGCAACCAAAAACAGGCCTGAACCAGGGCTAAAAAAAACAAAGGCTTTCCCTCCACCTCTGCTCTCCCGTGAGATCAACGCGCACACATCCTGTAATGAGCTGCCCATAAATGCTGGCAACATCCTGCAGCTCTTAAGCGCCAACAGAAGCTCATCTTCCAGCACTTAATTAACTCAGAATAAGAGGGTTGTGTTGAGAGGAAAAACCTTTTCAGCCTTCTGAATGAACGCGCGCGCGCGCACACACACACACACACACACACACAGCTCTGATTTGTGAGAAAAGGTAATTAGATGACACAGAATACACACACAGCCTCTTTCTCTGTTGCTGGCTCGTGTCCCCTTGCTTGCTTGCTTGCTTGTTTGTTTGCCCCCTCCTCCCAAGGAAATGACCGCGCCAGGAAAACACAATCAGTAATGGAAAGGAAGCGTGTGGAAATCTGTGGACTTGAAAGCCAGTTGGAAAGAGAAAGAAAGTGACAGCCTCGACAGCAAACTGGTTTTCCACGCTTACCACAAAACAGTAACGCTATCAAATTATAATGTAACTTACCCTAAAACTTAACAGCTAAATAGCTTTCGATGGAAAGCAACTTTAGCTAACTGTTCACGGAATAAAGACTTTCTCAGTTAGTGACTGTTTGAGTGCACCTCACCTTGTTTCCACCAACTTCACGACTGAAAGATGTTCTCGAGTCGAAGAAGACGCTTCCAACAAGATAAAAAAAAATTCAACTTTGAGAGGAGTTCTCTGCTGCAGAGGACGTGACAGGGAAACGGTTTGGTGTGTAAAGAGAGCAGCGTAAACACTTGCGCGCTCTCTCTCTCTCTCTCTCTCTCTCTCTCTCTGAGTGGGCGCGATTGTTTCAACAGTGACGACACCTGTGAGCTCTTTACCGTAACGGACGCTGCAGTGCGACCCCCGAAAACACGCAGTGTACCGTAAATATAAACCACAACCCGCAAAGCTTATGCTGGCAGCTGGATTGGTTTTAGAAATTATTTTTATGAAACCCCAGTTATGCCAGGAACAAGAAAACATTATGAAATTTTAGCAATACAAGTCATGCACTTGGTGAGGATTGTTGGGGCTCTGTATATATTATAAAGAGTACGGTCTGTTCTACATGAAAAATGCAAGGAGATAAACATCTGTTAGGCGCTAAATAATGTGACCAGTTTCTCAAGTTGCACCACTGTTTACCAACCCGAACAATGATTGTTCCTGGAAATGTCCCACCATTAGACAATTAGTAGGGTATATCAGTGGGACACGAAGTCATGGAAAATGTTTACATATGTCTGTGTGATTGCCTGAAAATACAAAGATCTGAATGGGCTATGAGTAATATCCTGGGAAAGAAACTGGTTGAACTGGAAAATTAAATCATTCACATGAAGCACCTCCTCATTTTCAGTAGAGGGAGACATAACTGCATTTTTATGGAAGCTTTAGAGGGAACTAGATTTCTGTCTACTCATTTTTGTGTGTGCTGGTTACATACTGTATTCTATAAATTACTGTGTTTAATGTGATGCTGATGAAACAAACTGCCCAGCTCCAATACTGCAGCTTTATTGAGTATGAATTTCTTTTTTAATCTTTTTTTAATTACAAGTCTCTTTAAATCACCTCCACCAACTACTGATCTCTTTTGTATGACCCATGAGAGAAAAACAAAAAGCGCAGAGCATACAAACTAGCGTTGCCTTAGGACTGAGGCAGTGGGAGTACAGTTTGTCCAGATTAAAGAAAGGGTGACCGCCTCCCATCTGCCCTTTAGATGTACAGAGGTTAGGCAAAACAAACAAAACCATACCTCAGGAAAAGTGACATTAAAGAGAAGTGACTTATTCATTCGGAGCAACACTGCCACAGATCACAGGATCACATTAGGTTTAATTCCAAGCAACATGTGAAAATTAAGAGAGCTTCAAAGAGATGATCTGTGCCCACATTTAGCCATGCTAGAGCCTTGGCTCTAGAGATGGCAATGTCAGTCTGTTGGACGGTCGGCCCACCACTTTGGTGCAAACTGAAATATCCCAACAACTACTGGATGGATTGCCATGAAATTAAATGTTATCCAAATATTAATGGTTTCCAGACGAAAATTCCTACAGCCTTTGCTGATCCCTTGACTTTCCTTCTTGTGCCAACATGAGGTTCACATATGTGGTTTTGATAAAACAAAAAGCAACTATTGGATGGATTGCCATGAAATTTGGTACCGACATCAATATCCCCTTCACTAGAATGTGCCTTCATTCTTTGCCAATATGTCCAAAATGTAACAAGTCTGTAGCAAAAGAGTCCGAGTGCCTTATGTAGTTAGAGGTCTTACTGCGGATTTATTTTCCCAGACATGTGGTAGTAAATGTCACAGGCTGAGAGCATACAATGTGTAGAATATCTGATCACCTTCTTGTGAGCGCCACCATGGCACGCAGGCTAATTGAAAACGATACAGTTGGACCTTGGTTGGCAATGTGTTAGACGTATTAGTTAGAAATCTATGACATTGCAAGACGCTCAAATGTTTGAGCATCAACAAGTCCTTCTGAATATATCCTGAAGCCACAAACACACTCCTCATCTTGCCACTGACGAGAGCATCAGTTAAATAGCACTAAAATATACAAGGTGGAGAACAAGACACGCTCAGGGAGTACACAGGAACCTGTTGTTGAATTATAAAACAATAAGCTGCTTCTTTTTTTTTTTTTATATCCATGATTGAAACTATATCATGTGCAGAAAAGCCTTAATGCTTCTGGAACGAGCAAAGCCACTTTATATGCAGTCATAGTCAAAAATTAATGAGGCTTAATGAAAAAAATCTTCTGTTCCCCACAAGTGCTTTGGTTCTGGAGATGCATTGTTTTGGCAGGATGCTAATGCTGATATTACGCCTGTGTGGCACCAGATGTTTTAAGTGTTAAGGACACTATGGAAGCCTTTTTACAATGTATTTAAAGGAGCAATCCATCAGGATGTCTCAGCTGCCTTGCTTTTGCCCATTCCTTTTTTAACTTGTCTCTTTCATGTCCCACCAAATGTATGGAAGTGCAATATTAAAATCACTAGAGTGCCCCTTTAAAACAAACAGTTGAAACCATGGCACATTGTGAATGAAAACAAGGCTCAGGTTTATGACAATGCAATATGACAATCACAAAGAAGACGTTATAACATATGTAAAATACTCATACATCTGGGGTAGTCACACTGACTCAGTCTTTACAATCAATAAAGTGAAACAAATTTATTGCATACACAATGTCTGAAATTTACTGAGAGTTACCTGGCCAGAGTTGGAAAATTGAGAAACGTTCACCTTTTAACAATGACTGCAACAACAATTTTCAGTGCTATGTCAAGATTTGCTCACTGACTGATACACTGGATCAACAGAATGCAATAGAATTGATAAACTATGTTACTTACTGACAAAGTTACCAGTCAACCTGTTGGGTGAACTTTACTCATTCGTCTTCCACAGGCAGATCTGACCAACATTTGGCACTTGATAGGTGCTCATTTCAGACCCTGTGTGCATAAACACACACGCAGACACACACACCCGCATGCCTGCAGGCACACACGGTGTATGACGTGTGCGTTTGGAAACGTTACTTCCTTTTTCTCATCTCGTCTGCAGGCAGGCATAAAAATCTAATCTGGGCCATAATTTAAAATCTGGACAAACATATAGACATTTCTCTACATTAGCAGCAATTTTACAGCCATAGCGCAGACAGACAGGGCTGAAGCCATTTAAAACCTCTAACATAAGAACACGAGCCACTCTCCTTTACCCTTGATGATTAAAAATAGGCAACATTTGGAAACAATGTAGAAAGGCCATTTTGCTTTGAGTTATGATGGTATTTTTATGTAAGACTTTAAAACAGCACTGCATAATATGTGAGGTGTCTGTAAACGTTGTGTTACAGTAAGTACTGAGTAACACACTATAATAATGTTCAGGCTGTATGTTTCTGTACTGATATCATTAGTTTCCAGTACAATTACTGCACACAGCTAATAAGCCCATATCATGAACTTCCAAAAGGGAAGAATCCTTTTGTAGAATTCCAGTTGCTACTAAAAATATCACCCATCTACATTGTGTCTCAAAGTTTCCTGTGTATAATTAACTTTATTCTACCCTACTAGCCTATTGACGTAGCTAGATTCACAGTCCAATTATATGTAACTTAGTCTCTATTTTACAAACTGGAATTGACTCTGGATTCAGTCTATAGTCAAAAAGGGGATAAGATGGGCTTTCTTCCAACTAGGCCTACTAACAGCATGGAATAGACATACATATTGAGAGGAATTTATATATTAGCTTAGTATATATAATATACAAACAGTATACATAGTCTCTGTGACATGGTGGACAGGATGAAGGGAAGGACAGGCAGGGTTGAACCTTTAGTCCCTGTAGGGTCCCCAGTGTGCGTGTTACACCCCTTTCACACCAAAACTACGACCTGTGTTTGCCGTCTGCTCCACTGCAAGGGCTGAAAGTGGGTCTGACACTGCTCACCTGTGGTATGACTGGATAAACACAGGTTACTATAGTAACTATGGGATAGCGTAGTATATATATGGGATAGTATAGTATCAGAATAATTAAAAGAGATCCCATGATTTTACCAGATCAAACCGGCCGTCAGTGTAAAAACCAACATTGCACTTTTAGTGACGTTGCTATACGCAACAACCCTGTTTCGCAGTGGGCACAGAACTACAGCTGCAAACCCAGATGTTGTGTGAACAGTGCCAAAACGAGTACTGAATCGGGACTATTATTGGAGTATATGAACGGTCAAACGCAGGCTGAACCTGAGTCCTGTGTTTTACACAGGGTGTGGAAAGCTGCACGAGAGTGTGAGTGTGCTTGTACATCTTGGTGTGTACAGGGGAAGACTGATGAGAAATGGAAGGTGCGCTCCTGAAAAAAAAAAAACAAATAGAAGAGAAGACAAAATCAGACATCCACTGATTGACAGAAAAAGTCATTATGGGTTACAAAAGTATGCTCCTGTCACCACCCACCATGTTGGGTCACATTGTTCTGCTGTACTGTATGCCGGTCTTGGAGGCGATGTTGGACCAGGGCAGCAGAGAGCGCAGCAGGGACTGGGCCTGTCTGTACAGTCTCTGAGGGATGGAGCAGGGGCTCAGGCTGGCCAAGGTTGAACCAATGTGCTGGATATAGTCAGTGGGAGATGAAGTTAAGGAAAGGTTTGGTTTATCTGCATATGCGTGTGCGATTCCCTGAAAATACAAAGATCTGAAGTCAGCACAAACATCTACTCTGATCAAGGTGCTGTAGGTTCTACTCATTGGAGCAAATAAAAATCTGGTGTAAGATTGAAATATAAATACAAACTGTCCACTAAACAAAAGTAGCTGTCTTCTTTTCCTGCTCCTACAAAAGGATATAATATCGTCCAGGGTGGATGACCCCCATTGATGTAGAGCACATATGTGAATCCGTCTTTGAGGACGCCTCGTATGGAGTAGTAGTAGGGCAGGTAGTGGTGCTGCCTGAAGTCCCTGTTCTCATAGAAGTGGATGGCAGTGTTGTTGGTAGTGAGTACGTGTAGGTAGATTGCCTTACAATGGTCCTGGGCTGTCGTTGAGATGTGCTCCTTCAAACTGTCCAGCAGTAGGGAGCCTGAGTGGTTGAAAGGAGAGAGGGCTCAGCCAATGAGAGGGAGAGTGTCTTAGTTTAAAGTCTACAGCTCTGCACCAAACTACACTGAATGCAGTGATTCAATCGAGTTTACAGGAATTC